AAAAATGTTGTCTATGGTAACCATTGATAAACATATTGTCTATGGTAACCATTGATAATAATGTTGTCTATGGTAACCATACATAAACATGTTGTCTATGGTAACCATTGATAAAAATGTTGTCTGTCGTAACCATTGATAAAAATGTTGTCTATGGTGGCCATTGATAAACATGTTGTCTATGATAACCATTGATAAAAATGTTGTCTATGGTAATTATTGATAAAAATGTTGTCTATTGTAACCATTGATAAACATGTTGTCTATGGTAACCATTGATACAAATGTTGTCTGTGGTAACCATTGATAAAAATGTTGTGTATGGTGACCATTGATAACATGTTGTTTATGATAACCATTGATAAAAATGTTGTCAATGGTAACCATTGATGAAAATGTTGTCTATGGTAACCATTGATTAAAAATGTTGTCTGTGGTAACCATTGATAAAAATATTGTCTGTGGTAACCATTGATAAAAATGTTGTCTATGGTAACCATTGATACAAATTTTGTCTGTGGTAACCATTGATAAAAATGTTGTGGATGGTGATCATTGATAACATGTTGTCTATGATAACCATTGATGAAAATGTTGTCTATGGTGACCATTGATATACATGCTGTCTATGGTGACCATCGATAAACATGTTGTCTATGGTAACCATTGATAAAATGTTGTCTATTGTAACCATTGATAAAAATGTTGTCTATGGTAACCATACACAAACATGTTGTCTATGGTGACCATTGATAAAAATGTTGTCTGTGGTAACCATTGATACAAATGCTGTCTGTCGTAACCATTGATAAAAATGTTGTGTTGTGACCATTGATAAAAATGTTGTCTATGGTAATTATTGAAAAACATGTTGTCTATGGTAACCATTGATAAAAATGTTGTCTGTGGTAACCATTGATAAACATGTTGTCTTTTGTGACCATTGATAAAAATGTTACCGATGGTGACCATTGATAAAAATATTATCTATGGTAACCATTGATAAAAATGTTGTCTGTGGTAACCATTGATAAAAATGTTGTCTATGGTAACCATTGATAAGAAGTCTTTGGTAGCCATTCATACACATATTGTTACCATGGAATGTAATCAATGATACATTTGAGCTAAGAGTATTGGCCCATTGATATTTCAATGGTAACCATTGATACTTTTTTGTTACCATTGTCAAACAGCTATATCGTTGGTGACAAATGAGGACGGATAAATATATTGTCCAATTTGCAAATCAGTTTTATCTTTCATTTTAGAAGGTGCAGGTACTTTACATTTTGAATTTCACAGTCGTGTTTAATTTTTATCTGAGCATTATCTAAAATACTTTACACTTTACCCCTTTCGGTAATTACATATGTATGCGTTACATAAACTGCAGATTGTGCCAGAGTGAGTATGGATTGTCCTGATAATGCAAACAAGTATAAACAACTTATTTATATGTATACATGTTCTATGGATGAAATATGTAATTATTTATTATATATTCCAACTGTCACTTTTAACTACCATCAAACATTCAACAGTCATTTCTGAGTGTTAAAACTGTACATTTTGTATGTGTACTGTGATTATATTATACCATTCAACATAAATCAATGTATTGAATCTGTTTTTATTTGTTGGTCTTTATTTCATACTCTAATGTAAATAACAGACGGACGTTATGCATGTTACCACAGGGACATGTGGATTAGTTACAGCTATATTTGGACCTAAATGAAGGTGTTCAGAGTAATTTTACACGTTTTGGTGGTGGTGGTGGTGGTGGTAGATCAATTTTCGGTAAAAATGCCACAGGTCCAAATATAGCTGTAACGAATTATCAGGTCCTTGGGCATGTAACTTCGCTTCCACTGATGTCACAAGTCAAATCAGGGGCCATAACTCTCTTAAGATCTATGATCGGTTTACAACCTATGGCATCCTATGAACGGCTTAGGTCATAAGGACGTGCCTCCGTGTGCGTGATGTATGCGTGCGCTGGAAGTGGTACAATTTCTTATGTTGGTGTATTTGCCTCCTTGCGATAGCGCGAATCACCTGACTGAAATACCACGCCATGCAATGACACCATCACCGCAATCGGGAGGGAACCTTCGGCACTTTCATTACGGAAAGTGCCGACGGTTCCCGATTGCCCGTCTCAGTAGTCTACTCGGTTACATTATACGGAAAACGGGTAAAGCAGTTGTTACTCCCTTTTTAAGAACTTTCGTATGTCCCGGAATGGAGCAGATAGGGGGTCGCAAACCCTATGAATACTCCATATCCCGTGTGTGTTGTTGGCTGAACATTGACGTACTATTTGTGTCACAAATGGAAAGTGTGCCACGAACAACTCCAGGTTCCGTACTCATAAGGCCAAGGTAAACGTAATAGCCAATGGTCAAATGTCACCTACCTGTAATTTGCTATAAAGCTGTTGTTAAGAACACCTGAGCCACAGTACATCTATGTTGGCCTTAGTACTGAACGTTCAACCAAGTGAGGAAGGCAATTGGTTCTGTCCCCCAGTCAGGACATACCTACGTCCTTAAAAATGGTAGTTAATTGATATTCCCTGCTTGACATTTAACATTCAGGGAAATATAATGGCAACAGCTGATTTACCCGGTGGCAGTATACCGAAGGCACCCAGCACAGCATTCTGCCCGGTCACATTATACTGACAACGGGTGAACCAGTTGTTGTCATTACCCTTAATGCTGAACGTGAAGGAGGGAACAACAACTTCCAATTTTAAGGACTATGGTATGTCCAAGCCTGGGGTCAGAACCCATTGCCTTCCTCCCTGGGGCGAACGTTCAACATCAAGCGAGGTATTGTCAAGAAGGCGCGAGGAAACGAAAGGTTATTGGAAGTAGATAAATATAAAAATCCTAAATATTGCAATGGGTGCAGCAGATTTATTTTGGTCGCTAAGAAGAAGGCACAAAAGCAAATCCCCAATTCATTAGGGGGTTTCCACCTTAGTCGCCTCTTACGATCATGCAGTGGGTAACAACAGGTGTATCCTTTTCTCGATCCCCGACCTGCAGGGGTGTGTAAACAAACAAAAGAAAAACAAACACAAACCACCTTAGCCAAAGGCTCAAGCGACTATTAAGATGTCTTCATCTGATGTCATTCGCCCAGCGAAAATATTTGCACATTTTGAACATAAACTTAATTTCTACTTAAGAAATATTGAAGAAACTTTATGGAAATATTCAGCACGAGGTCCTGACCAACTGTGGTGTTTTGAAGGTCATTCAGATGTCCGAAATGGCCACCACGACAGCTATTTTTTTCTACAGACAGATACAAGCAACAAAAGTTCTAACTTCCCAGACAGTTATCGGTTGGAATGGTTAGATCTACCAATTTCTACTTTTCGGCCAATACTGTGCATACGTTTCGCTCAATATTTTAGTAAACACATGTCAAAAATCTAGTTTTAATCATCAAAACGTACTCTTTTATTTAGTTTTACTTAATCTCAAACCACAAAATGAACTTCCCTTTAGTTGAAAGTAGATAACACCAAAATATTGCTATGTAAATAGAAACAGCTTACAAGGATTTTTTAATCAGATCCAGAAAAGTCTTCGATTCTTCCGTATGCTTATCTTAAAACGTTTCCTGCTTGTCCCGTGTTACTTTCCATAAACGTTCATGTGTCCTTAATGCATCATGCCGGTCCTATGCAAAGTGCATATCAGGATTATACGTTAATCAATTTCATTCTGTGACTCATAATATATAGGTAAGTATTGTGAATTTATCATATGACCGTTTCCATATCCTACCACAAACTCTCAGTATCAACCCCGATAGCAAGGGGTCGGATACCCGAGGGCTGATATGGATCGAGGGATGATGAAGGATAAGGTGTGGAAATAGTCAGATTATAACCTCTGTTTATCACCACTAAACGTTTTGTGAAAAAATGTTAGCACAACATCAAAATTTCACAGTATTAGCACGAATCAAGTGTTAGTGAAGCGTATGTGGATTTTAAATGAGATGAATCAAAGGTAAAACGGATGTGGTAAGTGCGGGGCAGATATATGGCGCGTGCCGAGCAGGATATGGATCGGCCCAGCATAGGGCCTTTGCATAACTATAGCATCATCTCGCATACAAAACACCCCTATATCGGACATATTTACATTATACAAGTAAATATACACACACGTACATATATGAGTGCAAGCACACTCCAACTCAATCATGTCCTCAATATCGTCCACAATAAATGCCCTTCCTTTTCCAAAGAAACTTTCTCAAGTAAGGTTAGTTTGTATTATACAAGATTGAGTCTGATTTTTTTTAGAACCACAAGTGTTAAAAGGGCAAAACTCCTCAACTTTCTTTCTTGTAGTGCATCACAAGACTGAAATAATCTTCCTGATAACATAAGCAAGCACATCAAAATTATAAACAACTTAAAAAATCAAGTTAAAAAACACTATCTAAAGGTGATGAAAAAAAAGAGTTAGAAAACGAATTTGTGTATTTCTGATGATGGCTACTACATCGCCTTATTTTCTTATACCAATTAATTTATATATCGTATATAAGATATCTCGTATTGTATATGACCTATCTTATATATTATATAAGATTATTATATAAGATATCTCATACATATACAATAAAGATCTCTTAATCATATATATGAAATATCTTACATAATTTGATGAAATACAGGATCTGCATTGCTCCTTGATCAATAAATGATAATAAAAAGACAGAAAGCATCACTAATAAGCTTAAATGAAAACTGTGTGTAACGAGTGCCTGCTTCCGCTCATGACACTCATGTGCTGATGACGGTCCGTGACCACTCCGGTTATTATAGGAACGTTCCGGGTGTATATATCGTACGAGTGTTCGTTTCGTAAACGTACCTATGGTCGCACAGCACAAAGTATACTCAACATGGTCATGAGTCGTCACAGCGGAAAACAATACATACATACATTTTATCGAGTCTTCTTTTATAAATAACTATATATTTCAAGTTATTGATTATATATGTTGTGGTTTTTTTTATTCAACTGGTTACCTCCGAACGGGGTTAAATTGCTAACTTAACAAATAAAACTGACAATGCGTCTTAAATGCCGGTGCATACACTTACGATAACAAAGTTCAGTCGGATATAAATAAAACAAACAGAAGGACAGTCGTTCGTACAGACCGGATGTAACGTTTTTTTTGAGGATTCGTATACGTTGTACCCAAATGTGTACTTATAGAACTGTATACGTATTTCGCGGAGGAAGAAACTGGACAATACGTTGTTTATGAAAGTTTAGAAACACTCGTGATAAAAAATGGCAGACATAACGTGACATATTGTTTACACAATAGTTTACGTAGTTTCTTAGGAGCAATGCTTAAGTCGGAGGACTTCTCCGATAGGTCTCCCCTCCTCGACAGCGGCGATGGCGAGACTGCTGTCAATGAGGGTGCGGGGCAGAGGAGGATATCCCGGGGGACATCGTATTGTATTATTGGCGTACTGTTTGTGGTTAATCTAATCAACTATATGGACCGCTACACAGTCGCAGGTTAGTGAACTGAGTACACACCGTTTATCGTAAACTGTCTACGAAATTAGGAACATATTGTTCATCGTAAATGTCTGCAATGTTGTATATCTTAATTTAATTCTGTATTTATTTTACGAGGATTACAAACAGCCCGAAGGCTACTAGATGCTCTCCTTAACATATATCAAACATACAATATGTACAATTACACAAAAGACGTACAAAGTCGCACACACTTGCACTCACACATACACACATTACACACACACAGAGAGAGAGAGAGAGAGAGAGAGAGAGAGAGAGNATTGTTCATCGTAAATGTCTGCAATGTTGTATATCTAAAAGTGTGAACGCTGTTGCTTATTGTAATTTGTCAACATTGTTGTCTATAATTTTAATAAGTTTAAATTATCGTTAACTGTCTACGATGTTTAACAGAAATTAGGAACATATTGTTCATCGTAAATGTCTGCAATGTTGTATATCTTAAAGCCTGAACGCTGTTGCTTATTGTGATTTGTCAACAATGTTTGTTTATAACGTTAACATGTGTATATTCTCGTTACTCGTAAAGTACAATACATGTTGTTTATCGTAAACTGTCTACAACGTAAATAAATTTGGTAATATGTTGTTTATAATTTTTGTAACTGTCGTTTATCGTTAACTGCCAATATAATTCTCTATCAAAAAGTGTGAAACTGTTGTTTGTCATAAAGTATATACACTGTTGTGTATTGTCAACTTTCTACAATGTTGTTTATCATAATGTACACTGTTGTTTATTGTTAATTTTTTCAATGTTTATCGTAAAGTTTGTGCACTGTTAAATATCATAAAATACTTATAATGTTGTTAATCATAAAGAATGTTTAATGTTGTTTATCATAAAGAATGTACCATATTGTTTATCATAAAGAATGTATAATGCTGTTTATCATAAAGAATGTATTATGTTGTTTATCATGAAGAATGTATTATGTTGTTTATCATAAAGAATGTATAATGTTGTTTATCATAAAGAATCAAAATATTGTTTATCATAAAGAATGTACAATGTTGTTTATCATAAAGAATGTATAATGCTGTTTATCATAAAGAATGTATTATGTTGTTTATCATAAAGAATGTATAATGTTGTTTATCATAAAGAATGTATAATGTTGTTTATCATAAAGAATTAAAACATTGTTTATCATAAAGAATGTACAATGTTGCTTATTATAAAGAATGAACAATGTTGCTTATCATAAAGAATGTACAATGTTGCTTATAATAAAGAATGAACAATGTTGTTTATCATAAAGAATGAACGATGTTGTTTATCATAAGGAATGTACCATGTTGTTTATCATAAAGAATTATAATGTTGTTAATCATAAAGAGTTTACAATGTTGTTTATCATAAAGTATGTACAATGTTGTTTATCATAAATAATGTACCATGTTGTTTATCATAAAGAATGTATAATGTTGTTAATCATAAAGAATTTACAATGTTGTTTATCATAAAGTATGTACAATGTTGTTTATCATAAAGAATGTACAATGTTGTTTATCATAAAGTATGTACAATGTTTATCATAAAGAATTTACAATGTTGTTTATCATAAATTATGTACAATGTTTATCATAAAGAATTTACAATGTTGTTTATCATAAATACTATACAATGTTGTCTATCATAAATAATTTACGCTGTTGTTTATCATAAAGACTGTACAATCTTGTTTATCATAAAGTATGTACAATGTTGTCTACAATGAAATTTATCATGAGAATGTTCTTTGTTGTTTGTTGTAAACATTATTCAAGATTGTTAATTGTAAACTTTCAACGTTGTTGTTTACCAGAAAGTTTTCACCACAAGTACTAGCCTCGTCTGTCAATACACTTATCATATAATCTTATAGGTGTATTGACAGACGAGGCTAGTACATGTGGTTTTCACACTGTTGCTAATTGCAATCTTTCTACAATGGTGTTATCGGTATAACTATCTTCAACGTTGTTGTTTATAAAGTAAAGTATGTACACTTGTTAATCGTAAATTGTCTACTATTTGTTGTGTTGCACAAAGTATAAACAAACACTGTTGTATAAAATGTTGTTACTTGTAAAACGATCTACAATTCCAGGGTCATTCCATAAATTATGTCACCACACAGCTCCCGTATGAACGGGCAGTGAAATAGTTTAGCGCCTTGGCAGACTATAAACGCATTTATAGAACAATTTACGTGCAAAATTTCGGCATCATCCCACAAGAATTAAAGGAGTAATTCCTGGTTGAATGGTATGCACTCATGACAAGTATCTACTTTTCAATGCTAAAATGAAGGTTGAGACTAAATCTGAAATACGCTCCTATATTAAAGCACAAGATACCGCGAGAACAAACAATGCAGAGTTGTGCAGCATAAAAAGCACCTCTGCCGTCACACGTCAAATTCAAGAACGGGCAACTTGACATCAAAGAGGACACACGTTGAAGCAGGCCAGCTGTTGCGGCATCAAAGAAGAACATTGATGCTTTGAAAGCAATACTTAATGATGATGGTCGCTCTACTGTTTTTGAGATAGCTCAGATGCTTGGTTTTTCAAAAGGCAGTACATATCAGTTTCAGCAATAACACGCAATAGGTGTCGAGAAATCAAGAAAGGCCAGTTCTTGCAAGACGTAAAAAAAGCGCAAAGTAGTTTTTTTGCATGCCAATTTCAGTTACATTGTAGTAGACCAGTGGTTCAGATACCATGCAAGGAAGGGAAAGTTACCCCTGCCAAATTTTACAGAGCCAAAATACTGAAGCCTGTCAAAAGATTCTACATGAAAAAAAGCGTCCAAGTAAGGGGTTGAATGACAAAAAGCTAATTCACGACAAAGCTTCATTTCACAAAAGCAATATTGTACAGGTGTTTTTAAAGCAAGAGTATGTAGCACAGATTGACCACCCACCCTATTCACCAGATCTAAGTCCCTGTTACTTCTTCTTGATTCAATTACTAAAGAGAATGTTCTCTGTGAAACGGTATGCCTCTCAATGTCTCGCCAGTTTACAAAGGAGAGACTATCTCACAGAGTTTACGTCATAGATAGGGCGATTGCAAAAATGCGTTTCTGCTAAGGGGATTGTAATAGAAGGATCCAACTATAGACATCATATATGTGATTCCTGACACTAGTGACAGAGTTTATTGAATTGCCTTCGTATTGTTTATCATAAAGTGTGCACACCTATGTTCATTGTAGTTAATCAGTATTAACAAATTGCAAATTCGTACCTGTCCAGGTGTTTTGAATCAGGTTAAGACCTAAGAACACAAGTGTTCTTGTCCAGGTGTGTTGTTTAGGCCTATAATAGTTCACATTCGTACTTATCTAGGTGTATTGGACATGGTTCAACCATACTATGGACTGAACAGCTCACAGGACGGACTGATACAGACGGTGTTCGTTATAACCTATATGATTTGCTCACCGATGTTCGGTTACCTTGGCGACAGATACTCCCGGAAGTACCTGATGGTGGTCGGCATCCTCTTCTGGTCCGGTATCACATTGGCTAGCTCTTTCATTGATAAGGACGTGAGTATCATGTTTCATTATAATGTACATGCAATTTGATAAATTCTGGATAATTTCAAATTCCGAAGTTGGTTCGAGCAACATAGAGTAAAGATTTCATAACATTGAGGTCAAATGACACCAAATGTATTGAAAAAGCTGCAATTTGATTTGTATGCCCTTGCTCTTGATCCATGATGTAATATACAGCTTATATACTCAACTATTTGTAGCACTTTTGGGTTTTCCTGATGTTGCGCGCCCTAGTAGGTGTTGGAGAGGCCAGTTACGTCACAGTTGCACCTACGATCATCGCCGACCTGTTCCATGACAGCATGCGTACAATAATGCTCATAATATTTAATGTGGCCGTGCCATGCGGCAGGTAAGTTTTATAAGTCGAAAATTAACTCCGAGACAAATAATAGAAATGAAGAAAAAAGAGGAGGGTACGTTGTTTCAAAACTACAAAGATATGTGTTTCGTAATTAAAAAAAAAGTTGAAATCTATAGCTTTATATTTTACAATTGAGCATAGAATTTAGTCGTCAATTTAGCATAGAATTAAGGGAAAATAGCGATTTTTCAACCTGTTTTAGAAAATTTTTGGTTGAAATCGTTATTGGAGCCCGGATGGAATTAACATAGGATAAAGCCATTCGCACTAATCATGTACTGATTTTTGACGGTCGATCTGTTGCAGTGGACTTGGATACATTGTGGGGTCCAATGTGGCCAAGCTGTTAGGCGGATGGCAGTGGGCACTACGGGTGAGTATCTGGGGCAAAGAGGAGACAACCGGTCTTTTCATTGATATGCATTTTAATTTGGTGTGGCAATACTCTTTGAGGGAATTAATTTATGAGAGTTACTGCAACCGGCACGCCTAAGAAGACAATGGTTCAAGTATTCAAAAATATTTTGTTCAGATCAGTTTTTGACGCAGAAAAACACCCCTGCATCCACCACTGGTTGCTATTTGTAGTGTATGAATACACTATCGCGCACCATTCAGTTTGTCTGCGACACAAATTGAAGTTATACCCGTTTTTCTGTAACATCTATTTGGCTTCTTGTTTAATATCCCATTATGTTGTGAAAACCTTTTCGGTTATTAGTATTTTCCAAAGTCGGATTCGTGTTAGATTCTATCTCTGGTGATTTTTTTATAACCAGTCCTTACTTCCGGTTTTCGATAAACACCTAGCTAATCAAAATACTTCTCTGATTCCTGATGGCAGTTATAATGTTGTATCGCAGTTTCAGTTTATTCAATACGTGGAAGCATTTTTTCCGTATTATAAGCATGTCCGACATTTCCGAACAATATCGTGACTGAGTGAAACTCGATAACATTCGGGAACCGTCGGCGCTTTCCGTAAACGTATTTTCTCGTTTACGAAAGTGCCGGCGGTTCCCGACTGACTCGATGAGTCATTTGAACCAAATTTTCCGAGCATTTGGAATTTTTTTTGTCGAGTTGTAACGGAAATAAATTTACCACTGATATATGATAATATTTTCCCTGTTCATTGCTATGATTAAATATACTATCTGCTGTAAATTAATGCCCCGGCACTTAACCCCCCTCCCCCCTCCCTTTGAAAACTAAATATTACATAAACCGGATGTATCTAGGGCTAACAAAAGCGGAAAGTTACGAAAATGGCGCGTGATAAAACTTTGATTTGATATAAGTCTAAAGGCGGCTATTATTTATTACGTACTTTTATCAAAACGTAACCTTTGACCCACACCGCCATTTAGGTATGTTTGACCTTTGATCCATATTGCGTTCCCAAAAATTTAGTAATGGATGTGAATATTCCCAAAACATAGTTGACCTTTGACCCTTAATGTCTTGTAGGTGACCCCGGGGTTTGGCGTGATCTGTGCCATACTGATACTGATCCTCCCAGAGCCAACGCGAGGGTCGGCGGACGGAGGGACTAATCTCAATAAAACATCTTTCCTACAGGACCTTAAAGAACTTTTTACCAAGTAAGCCATTTATGAAAATGGACCTGCATTTCTGCTAAAAGTATCTGAAGTATTTTGTTTTGTCTTTATAACATTGCTTACCATGGCGCCTTCCTCATATTTACACATGAGCGCTGTGTCAACAACATATGTAGTATTAATGTCACATACTAGTACGTTTGTTCTAACAAAATTAATTCAGCTTGTTAACTCCATGAAATTGCAGACAAGTCTCATTGTGAGTATATATTTCTTTTTTATAAAATTAGATTCAATTCTCTCTTTGGTAATGGTTTTCTTGGCATTTGAAAGGGCGTTTATTGCTATGATTCCTGTGCATATTGCTTGTTGTGTGTTGTTTTTGAACGTTTTAACTGGAATGGATGTTTGGAGTATATTCCTTTATGCCTGATGTTATGTTTTTGTTCTTGAGCATGTTGAGGGCACGTCCAAGATCATTCCCGAGGTTGGCATGTTTTAGGTATGCAGCTGTGTTGATGCAGTACCTGGAGGTTCCCGCTGTACTGATTCTTGAGATAATTCCGTACCTTTTTGTTATATTGATGGTAACTCCCGTGGATTATTTGTAGCTTTTCTCATTTCTTTAATGATTTCGTTCTGTGTTTTTAAAATATAAACTTTCTTTATTTTGGTATTGACTTAGCTGCCTTGTTCAAGATAATCATCTATCTAAGGGCTACATTCTGGAGTGAATAGAAATATTCGGAATGTCCAAATGCCAGCATTGCATTAGGTCCATGTTTGGTTGTATCTTTATAGTATTCGGGTTTGATGTGAGGATGTGGAAGTCTGATCTTTGCAAAGAGTGGTGCTTGGTCTTATATGTTGGTAGCCTTCATATCCGTAATTTTGACTTGCAGTTTCAGTTTGCAAGCTCTATGCACATTCAGATCTGTGTTAAGAGACCAACGAAGGGTAGGCTCGGTAGTGGTCTTTCAACAACTTGGTTTGGTTTGCTTGTGTTTAACGTCCTATTAACAGCTATGGTCATTTAGGGACGTACCAGGTACTGGTGGTGGAGGAAAGCCGGATTTCCCGGAGGAAAACCACCGACCTACGGCCAGTGCCTGGTAACTGGCCCACGTAGGCCTCAAACTTGAGACCCAGTGGTGGAGGGCTAGTGGTAGCAGATTGGCAGACGCCTTGACCACCTGGCCAGCGCGGCCCCCTCTTTCAACAAATGCAGTCTCTTGATAGGGTATTGGTTTGTGGTATACTGCTTTGTAACGAATGAGAAAGCGGTGGTTCCTTGAGCGAGTGGATTGCTTATTAGAGATGGTCTCTTGAGTAGTTACGATTGTTGTCTATAAGGATCTCGGACTCTTGTTGTGGTGGTGGAAGATAGCCTTATCTAAGTATTGTCCATAAGTTTACATTTTGTGCGTTGGCAATGTAATATAATTGCTCATTTCCTTGTATATTGTCTGTGTACCCCGTCTCCATTTTGTGTGTTCTTGTGAATTCTGTAATGGTATGTATACGTCACCATTTTGTGGGCTCGCAATGCGATATAATTACTAGTTGCCTAATACCAGTATTTTCATGGGGTCTTTGCGCTACTTTCCATGTAAGATAGCAAGAAGCACCCCGTGAGAGATTAACCGATTACAATATAAAAATGTGCGACGTCATCAGTTTTTGTGTTTTGTCGGCAGTAAGACGCTGGTACTTTCATCACTGGGGTTTACGTGTGTAGCCTTTGTGACTGGGACGCTGGCTCTGTGGGCACCTATCTTCATCCACGACTCCATGATATTCCAGGAGCGCACGGTACAGCAATCCAGGTACGGACAAACCAATCATAATGGCAAAACAATCGTTTACTACATTTATGTAAATTTGAATTGTAATACATGTTACTTTGCTTAGTTGGATTGCTTCGATATGTTTCGTGTGTGTTCCAGCGACAGCGTCAGCCTGATATTTGGTGTAATCACGGTGGTAGCAGGTCTGACGGGCGTTGCTATAGGCGGAGAGACGTCCCGGAGACTAAAGACCAGGTACCCCCGGGCCGACCCTATCATATGTGCAGGTGGAATGATAGTTGGAGCTCCTTTACTCTTCTTCGCCCTTTACGTGTGTCGTTATAACACAACTGTCGCATGGGTAAATAAATAATCATATTTTGTCTTCATAGAGTGAAAACTCTTCCTATCTTCGTATGTTAAGTAATACGTTAACGCAACAGGGTATATTGGAATATTGTTGTGCCCTAGGTTGTATTTGCAATGTTATAAAGGGTCTTTTATCTGTATTCTAGTGTGTTAGAGCACTAATGATGATGTTTTTTTTCTCTTTGCTAACAACTAATGAATCAGAGATAGAAGAAACGGCCATATGACCATGTTTATCTTTCTGCATCTACAAACAATAGCTTCGAATAGTTATTTCTTTTCTTAGCATTTCTGATCACTGCATGTGTATAGTTAAGCCATTTTCAGGTTTGGTGTTAGCTGTCTAATTTAATACTTCAGGCAAAATAGTGAAGGAACCATCTAGTATAATTAATGATTATTTGTTGGGAAAACGTTTCGTAATAGGTTGCATGGATTATGTCTCTCTTACCCTTTTTGGTTCGTTCGAACCAAACACTAAAGCATAGATTCCTAACATTAAAATCAGAGCTGAAATGATCAAGATCGGTTGATGTGTTTCCTACGATATCAAACCGAGCATTCTTTAATGTCGATTTTGTACGTTTTTTTTCATATTTAAAGGTCCTCATCTTCTTTGGAGAGACAGCAGTATGCATCAATTGGTCCATTGTCAACGATATATTACTGGTAAGTTACTAGTAGATACAATCTCTTTGTATATGAACCTCAGTCTTTGTTGCATATGGTACGATATTCGCTCAAGATCTTGAGGTTTTTGTTCCAGGTAGGTGATGTCGTCCCTGTTGTACAATGAACGATATTTATTACAGAAACTGTCATCATGATTTTGAATTGTTTATAAGTCTCCATCATGTTATAGAGAGCTCATTCATAGTCTTGCCGGTTTTTGTCCGTGTAAAGATTTGTTGCAGATCCCGTTGCACGAGTTCCATATTGTCCAATGTTCGTTCCAGATTTCAAAGGATTTGTCCAATCCTTGTAATTTCAATGTTCTTTACAGATCACGTGTATGTTAGTTCGATGTCGCTCATTTGTTAAAGATCCTGTGGTCTTTTCCCCTTTGTTGTATAGTTGTACATTCCAGACAACTTTCGCCCTTCGCCTATGAAATAAATTTTCGCCAAGTATTAATTTCGCCTTTCACATTCAATTACTGTGTATGCCATGCTGTTATATTCGCTGTAATTATAAATTCGTTCTCATCACGGACGGCGAAAAAGGTGAAAAAGGCGAAAATTGAATTGCAGCGAAATTATCTCGGTATACAGTATGTTTTCTGAACGATTGGTTAACTGTACTTACTTAAGTACTTCTAAAACCGTTATATTACCTGTTATTCCTCGTTTAGTGTATACTGATATTATGTCTTACCTTACTTGTCATTTGTTTGCCATCCTAGTACGTGGTGATCCCTACCAGACGGGCGTTAGCCTCGGCCGGTCAGATTTTCGTGTGTCATGCCCTCGGGGACGCAAGCAGTCCCTACATCGTCGGTCTGGTACGTATCCGTACCACTATATAAGATGGACTTTTTATTAGCACTGTTGCATGGAGTGAGCATAGGCTGGTACCTGTTTTAAGCTTACAGAGGAGCTAGCCCGAATTTAATTCCTGTCGATTTTACCGTTATGCTGCCGTGTGGTTCTTTTGATGTCAACCAGATTATCAAATTAGAAAACTATCAGAAAGACAGAGTCATCAGAAAGTACAGAGTCATCAGTTTTGTCATGAAAGGAGTGTAGAGAAATATGTATCAAGTGAGGGATTTCGAAGATGCCCATATATGCTGATTGTGTTGCAAAATACTGTGGTAAGGTCGACCGCAACACTGTCTGCTGATGGTATTGAGTAAATAAGTTAAGGGGATCGTGTTGGGGAATGGTCAGTTATATCCACGTACTGGTATAATTCTGTGGTTTTATGTTTGTAGGTGTCAGACGCTTTAGCAAAAGGCTACAGCCAGCCGGCCACTACCCCCATTGTCCAGTTCGCCACTTTACAGATTGCCCTTTACGTCACCCCATTCGTCAGCGTCTTGGGAGGAACCTTCTTCCTGGCCGCCTCCATGTTTGTAGTAGAAGACCGCAATGCTGCCGAAAGAGCAACAGGTAACTTAACTCTACTTACAGGTAAAAATTGAAGGGACCGTTACAAAAAGACTGTGACGGAAGAAAGTATCTGAAACAAATGACAGACTGGATATGAAGTGCACTCGAGATTTTAGCAGATTTATTTAATTTATAAATTCTGTCTTAATCTTCTTTATGTCTCTCTTTGCTAAAACAAATGTGTCATAAGAGATCGTTTTTCACTTAAAATCCTAAAAGAAATTTTAGTATCCCTTTCCTAATGATTAGCTATGTGTGTGAACTGCAGCAAAATGAAGGGAATAGTCATAAAATTTCACGTGGAAATATCTTGAGTATCCCGCCAATTTGTCAAATGTAGGTTACTAACCTGTATGTCCATTTGTTTGGCTAGCAATTGCTTTTAACATCGTTTCTGTCATAGCCGTGCAGGACACATGTATGACTTACAATTTTTTTTCTAGTTTAGAACGAATTAATACGCATTATTATTTATGACAACTGTGAAAAACACATCATACATTACTGATCAATGTTTTTAAGATTTTCGGCTGTATTTTGAAGTGGCACAGAGCTTGGCAATATATAACAATTGTATTTCATTGCACTTCAGATGTCCCTTCCTGTTGCATAAGGTCTGTTTAGTGCATGTTTATTCAGCCGTTGTTATTTAGCAGCAATGACTTGCTTGTTGCGTATATCTGGCATGTGTGTTCTCCTAGGTAATGGTTGGTAGATTGTCGTTGCTGTCCATTAAGAAGAAAAGCTCAGTTTATTCATCCTCCTCTCTTGCTTCCTTCATCGTGTTACTAACTCCATTCCTTTGTCTCACAGCTTAAATTCTTATCTGCGTGCGCAACTAACTCGTCGCTGTTTTTTGCCTTCGTGTTATACGGGGTTTGGCAGATCCAATGCATGCAGCAAAATATTCATTTGTCTTTCCGCCGCCGCTTTCTGTTTGTTCTCATGGTATGGTCACGACCATCGCATGTCAATGCAATGTTACATACTCATTTCTGGTGAAGAGTTCTAATTTTGAGGCCGTGGTCTCGGTCCCATGTCTTGCTTTGGTGATTGTGTGTTGCATCATTAATTAACTCTTGTGCTGGTCATTTTCACGATTTTCCCCAGTTCGTTTGCAAGGGCATTTTTTGTGTCTTTTCTGCTCTTATGATTTTCACTGATTTTCAAGGCAGGAAATCTCGTGTTGTCTTTGAAGTGGTAGTCGATATTGGTAAAGTCACTGATTAATCAGAGGCAGAAAAGGTAGGGTATTCTCAGGGTTTTCCACAACTTGGATATCAACAACATACATGCATCACCTTCATTAATCAATGACTTTACCAATAGTATGTTGTTGATATCCAAGTTGTGGAAAACCCTGAGAATACCTTACCTTTTCTGCCTCTGAGTCAGTTGAGGATGACAAAGTTCCATTATGCACAAGTATATCTGAGCGAGATTGTGTGTATGTGTTTATAATCACTGAACTGATAAATGCATTCTTGATAATCGTCGTCACACCTAGCATTACCCCGTTGTGGTTGGTAGACTGATATCACCAGGGAAGGTTTGGGGGTGCTCTCTCTCTCTCTCTCCTTTACTCTTGCTCTCATCCAGGGTTAAGATGACCCATCTCCTTTAGTGGTCCACACAACTCCCGTTCTCTTTATATCGATGCCCTCTAGGGACGGTGGAATGGGATCTGTGTGACCAATTCGAATCCGGAAAATTCCATGACAAAACCACCAGATATTTTTTCATTTGACTGAAGATTTCTTTTTTACATTACAATGTAAATATATCATTAAGGATCCCTGTACGTCTGCCAAAAAAATAAGGATCCTTGTACCACTGCCAAAATTGTAACAATGCATGGGGAACATATTCTTTTGCATGGCTACTCGTTTAAGAAAGCTTTTCTGAAAAGAAACTCATATCTGGGGAACACACTTTTACGGACATTTTCAGAGTAAATTGTAGTTATGATTCCTGTTTTTCTTCTATTTTTCTTTGATATTGAGACAACCTAAAGCAAGACTTACTTAATTGATGGAACTATGGTTTATTTGAAATATAACGCAAAAAAGTTATCTCGTGTCATAGAACGATGATTTATTTGAACATAACACATACAAATAACATCACTAGATGGAAGAAACAACTACCTATTTTGCAGTGCTATCAATGTGGAAAGGATGAGCTGCTTTATTTTTATCTCCTAAATTTTGAGAGCACATTGAATAAATTTTACAGAAATTATTCATAATATAAGAGTAACGAAAATATGTTATGGCCTTCGTCTTATATAGAAAATTAAAGATGAAATGCAAACAAAAACAAATAATAACAGTGTTCTGAATTGGTACAAAGGGCACAGTGTCGGACCTAGATTCGAACAATGGACCTCCGAACATAAACCTGTCTCTTTTATTGACTGAGCTACCTGGTCAACGATACTGTAGCTAGCTATCTCGGTCGTTCTTCAAATACTCCACGTACACATATATGTAGTGGAATTTTCTAGTATTTCCTTGCTAAAGACATTTGTTGATAAACAGAAATTGTGGTTTTTGAGGTTCCAATAATTTCTAACTTGCATTCAAATATCTACATGTTAACATTTATTTCATTGCATATACCTTACAGAGATTGTGTATACGCCACCGGAAGTAGATGATGAACAAGTGGAGTTACCAAAGAACGACTTCCTGCCCGCCGATTTATCATATTCTGTAAACTGAAATCCCTTATGACCACATGATTAATCAACGGAGAAAGCAGCTACCTACCATCACATTGCAGTTGACCAACACTACAATAAACGGATACTATAATTAACATGCAATTAAAGTAAACCGGAAACTACAATTTACACGGGTCTACTGTAAACAGGAAACTATAATTAAGCAAGGAACTTCAGTTACCAGAAAACTAGAGAAATGCACATTGCATTAGGTGAACACTTCCAAAGTGTGGTACTGTGATATACTCGATAGAAACTGTGAATATGACTACAATGATACGGGTCTGTTAGCATAGTGTGCTAAGTTGATCGTCATAATTAAGTGCTCGTAACGAAGTGGGGACTTATTGGTTTTACTCCGTTTCATATTCTCCTTCTTTTTCTTCTTCTTCCGCCATAAAAGTTTCCGACACATTTCTCAAAAACGATTGGACAAAAAACACAAGTGATCGTCATGGTAAGGAGGTATGCAAATGACATTTCATTTTCTGATCGGTCAACCAAGATGTCCGCCACGGCCTCTGATTGGTCGATTTAAATACTGCTCGATTTTGCTGAATTTTGGTATGTAGGTGTATTTTTGCGTCTTTGAGACAATTGAGACAATGGAGTTTTGGGGACTTATGTTATGGTCCCCCATTACAATTAGTACTTGTTCATAATGTATTTATGGTAAGTACGGAGGCGTGTTCCCATTTCAAACAAATATGGCTTAATTACATAAACAAAAGAACAAATCAAAAGTAAGTTCGAGGACAATTTGACTATTAATGATTGTTCGTTAATTGTTAAAAGATTGCTGAGAGATGGTAGAGCATGATGTAATGAGTCAATGTTATGTAATGTACTAGAAACACTATTACCTTCTGTTGGTGACTTTATGATATTGTTTTGTCCCTTTAAAGAGAGGTTGTGCATGGTGCTAGAACATATGTTTCCACCTATACAGTTCCACAAACTAAACTGTGTTCAGTAGGGTTAGTAATGGTATTAAATAGATGGGACATCGACAAGTATAAATGATTGTAATACTTTGTGGAGTAGATGAGTGCGTGACTGAGATTGAATTAGACTCCGGGTGAGAGGTAGAGAGTAAACAGTTAAAGTTGAATGTACTGTGTCAACTGCTACGTTGATGTAAAGATATGTTACGGATGAATCGCCTGGACAGTGCTGGGAGCAATCAACTTGTTTATGAAAATAAAAAAATAACTTTATATGGCTCATATTTGTATAACATTCTTCTGTTTTCTGTTCCCATTGAAACAATTGGGATATTTTTACATATTTTTTTATCAACTTCCTAACTATCCCTTTTGTTACCTACATGTAGCGTCTTACTTGGCAATATCTCATTTTTGGCTTTAGAGTTGAACGTTCGTCATGAGGAAGGCATTGATTTCTGTCCTTAGGCCAAGAAATGTCGAAGTCCTTAGAAATGGTAGTTCTTATTATTTGCTGAACGGTCAGCATTTAGAGTATTCGCAACAACTGGTTTACCTGTTGTCAGTATAATGTGACCGAATGGTATCCTGTGCTTGGTGCCTTCGGCATAGTATTTCAGTAAAGTAGCACTCTGAAGCTGACATCAGGCAAATGCACCAACATGCCACGGCGCCTCCAACACACACACGAATACATTACGCACATGTATGTAGTCCTTTAATGACGTAAGCTAATAAGAGGACGTCAAAATTAATAAGATCAAATCAAATCAAATTATTTTACGTCAGGATTTTCTGCGATCTTGTTTAAGGTCCAAAAAGATTTTTAGATGAATTTACTCTTATAAACAATCCATGGTTCCGTGACGCCTACAACATACAAAAGGACGTAAAAGTTAATAAATCCAATTCTTCTACATAATGTTTATCTGTTATCTGTTTCAAGTCCGAAAATATTTTACATGAGATTACTCTTTTAAACAAGAAACGTTATATACACACATCTTATTTATGTTTTAATTTTGAGCATGCAGAATCTCTCCCGTGGAAGCTGGCAAGTATGATTAAACCGGGTAGAGTGTCCTGCTACCGTGTCCAGGTTATGGCATTTCAGTGAGATGACACTTTAAAAGTGGCACTTGGGTGTTCCCATCATCTGTGGAGACATGACTTCGCTGTTGCGAGGATTTGATACACAGATATAACGGATCTTAAATGTTCGTCAGAAGGATATCATAGAGTAAGACCATTTTATAAGTAAACTGGGAGAGGGCCTAGTAAGTTGTAACGACTTGTGCCCAATCCCGTTGACTGTTTAATGTCTATAAAATATGCTTGAATGAAGTAAACTAAAATGATCTGATCACAAAAGCATTACTTTTAGAGATGCTTCAAACTAGTCTTATTCAAAATTAAAAAAACTTTGAATCTAATTAGAGGAATAACATTTAAGGATTTCATCCTGTTTTGTTGAGGTTTATGGGGTAAAAACCTCAATGGGTCTTGAGACAAATTTTATGACCTGCAAAGCAGTTTATTTTGAATTTGTCTCAAGACCCATTGAGGTTTATCTCCCATAAACCTCAACAAAATAGGATTCTATCCTTATATTTACATTCAGAGTGATATTGATATTTGTTCGGATAATTTCTAAAATAACGGTCTTGTGCAAGTCTAACACCACGGAAGTTATTGAAGCTTATGACGTCATCACTCACTGTGAGACGTCGTCCTGGTAAGATAAATAAGCAAATTAAGATGTAAATTATTTTTTTAATTCAATTTGATATTTCTGATAAAAATATAAATTGAAAACAATCTATGAATAGAACTACTTCCCGCGCTCCGCGGAATAACAGCGTAATCAGGTTGATAATATGCTGATGTATTCATACGCCAACTGGAAAGTTCATTGAAAAATAACCTTCAAAAAGTTTAGTAGGTATATTGAGTCCAAGATTAGTAGAAACGTAAATATTTTGATATACACAGTACGAGATCAACCTTTTACCTTTTACATACATTTAATAGCCATGATTTGAAATTACCGTTTTTCTGACTATACACAATTTCGCCATTCGGAAGCACGTTTTGGCATTCATGCTACAATGGAAAACCTATCTTAATACCATTTCTTTTTGTTAGACAGTGCCCTTATGACATTGTTAAAGCGATCCCTGGTGGAGGGTAATTAAACTATGGAAGGCAATCCAATAGCATGTTTTAACAATTGCAACATCTCCGGTTGATTTCCGTAGATTGCCGGAAATGTTGCGATGGCGTGTTTTGTCATTCGGAAGTTATCAAAAGCAATCGTCCCCTTTAATTTTGTTTTCGAAGTTAATGTATTCAATTTCCGCTTGATTTAAGGAGGTTTATAAAATAGAAAAAGAAAAAAACGTATTCATTAAAAATCTATTCTTAAAGTCGCTTAAACCGGGTGGAGGGAGTTATTATTTTGAAAGAAAAAAAAGAAACTTCCGAAACGAGTCTGAAGTGAGGCATGTTGATTTAAACAACCTGGGGAGAGGACATTTTTATTGAGGGCGAAATGCTAACACGTTTTCCCGTGTTAAGCTTGGGTAGTTAAACTTCCCTAAAAACCCTTAAAGGTTAATTTTCTCACATCAGTTTCAAAAATTATGAGCTGCAAAACTATACACAATAAAAAAACTATATTTATAAATTAGCGAGAGTCAAGTGATCGAATTCCGTTACTTGAGAAATTTAAAGAAAACCCCCCACAAGATATCTTGTACTGAATCCTTTGTTAAGGTTAGGTAATACATACCATACATAGACATGTATTTATATAATTTAAATACATTTTGACATGTTGACCTGATGTAAGAACAGGAAAAAAGTAGAATTCAATTCAATGCTAAAACAAATTTTAATTTACATAACAACTGTAATAAAAAAAATCGCATGTTTTACATTTAGAAATTACTATCATTGGGATAGCCGAATAAGGATAATGTAAATGTCGGAATGAAGAGGACACATTAACAATAGTTTATATAGAAAGAATGGTAAAACCACGTCCGTCTCCAGAGTAGACAAGATCCGGATTAGACAGGCTCTGACATACTACATGTACAATCTTCTCGAGAGGGCATGTCGGAGCAAAAGGTAGAGCCGCTATGGACAGAGATTCGGATAAGACAGCAGCCGGTTAAGTTTTGTAGCAACAAGGTAAAAACAGGACAGACTGTAGTAGTATACACCAATGGGAAGCTTCATGTAGCCTATTCCTATACTGATACCTGACCTCCGGTTCGTATTAATATAGAGGAAATAATATCCAAAAATCTTATAGGTTTAAAAGTGGGTTAAAATAATAAATGGTCTGGACAGGAACTTGCAAAATCTAGCGTGTTTAACGTTTAAATATTGGGAGCAGCTTGACAAATCCTCATTCCGGGTTTAGGTTTGTTGCCAATGTTACAAGTAAGGAGAAATCGTAAGTTATACATATCTGCTGAATAAATAATCTGGTTTTTGCACTTTCACACCATTTACCCCCTTTTGTTAACGATACATCTTAACGATACCCTTTCAAATACTTCATCGAAGATTGGTATCTCATTCAATCTTTTTTCGTGCTAGTTGTTAATTAATTTAAAAATATATGTATCGGATATTGATGATATACAAATTATATACAGTGTATATTAAGTACACGTATCACAAAGTAATCTACTTGAATGGCAAAAATCATCATGTTCTGCTATTCTTTGTCTGTACCAGCTCTTTCAAAATGAACTTTCATTGTATCTGTTTGTACAGGTCCTTCTCTCTGCCGTCACTGCGGAACTGTCCCGTTTCATGTCAAAAGGAGATGCTTATGGAAGCCATCCGGATCTCGTAGGAGGGACAAAGCCAATGTATGCCCCCATTTTAGTATCTTCGTCAAATACAGTATTTACATCAAACACATAAATCCATAACTTGGATTGGATGTGATTTGTTAGTCGATATACTCAAATAAGCGGAGATATAATTACTGCTTGCGTAATTTGGTTCTAAAGGATTAGTAGGTATTGTTTTTCCATCGATATAAAAGGCCACACAATTACAGTTGAAATGTTGAAAATTGAAAGGGTTTTTCTTATATGATCCATTGAAAGCAGTAGATGAAACTAAGTCTATAACTAGACGCTGTAGGATGTCCCCCTGAAACAGATCGTCAACATTTAAACTATACTTCCCCGCTGGTATACCAAAACATTTGATGTCGGAACGCTTAAAAGGGTCAATAGCGGGAGTTCTAACAATAGCCTCGCTGTGTCCTAGCATACCACATGGGTTAATTTTAACATAGCACACTTTCAAAACAACGTCATCGATACAATTCCGATAATGTCTGTTTTCATTTCATTTCAACAAATTTTATTGGAAAAAATATGCAAAGGGATAGGGCATCAGGCAAAACCTATAAAAGCCTTCTCCTTACAACTTCGGTATGTTATAACAGTCATTGAAATCATCAAACAAACATATAAACAATTCATATAGTGTGTCTCCATGTCCCCACCATACCAGATATATTTATGATTAAACAAATCTTTTAGTGTTGATAATGTACTCTGATATACATTGTAGTACATATGCATTGATTTCTTCATCACATTCATGACATCCATGAAGTAATGTGTTTATATTAAAATGGTCATGGGTTATATTTTAGTTAATCAGCTGATTTCTAAGTGTCAATCAACTTGTTGAATAAAGGACAGATAAAACAATAATGTTCCGCAATTTCCTTACCAAGGTTGCATGTGCATATTGGAGAATCTTTTAAATTGTCAAGAAAAAGG